CCCAGGACCCTGGGTTCCCAGGGGCTTCCACGCTGAGCTAAACAAAGACCCGGAGGCTGTTAACATTTAATAACCGATTATATACATAATAAATATTGAAGCCAGGGGCGCCTGGGTGGCTCAGTTGGTTAAGCGACTGCCTTCGGCTCAGGTCATGATCCTGGAGTCCCTGGATCGAGTCCCGCATCGGGCTCCCTGCTCGGCAGGGAGCCTGCCTCTCCCTCTGACCCTCCTCCCTCTCATGTGCTCTCTGTTTCTCTCATTCTCTCTGTCTCAAATAAATAAATAAAATCTTAAAAATAAATAAATAAATATTGAAGCCAAATATATATATGTAATTTAAAACCAATCCACTGATTAGTATCTTATATCTGCCTCAAGCAATGCACAAGGTTCAGGGCTCAAGAGAAAGTCGGGGAGTTGATGTCATGGAAAATGTATTGCTTGCAGGAAGAGTTTTAGGAGGATGGTTTGAGCTGCTACTGGCATCATGAGAGGAGAGGAGGTGGTCTTGCAGAGAGCTCTGCTGGGCAAAGCTGCTAAGGCAGGAGGTGTCAGGGAAGCTTAGCTGGGTGGTCTCAGAGTAGCCAGGGACACTGGACTTGATGTTATGTCTGTGGCTCTTCCAACATTTTCTGTTTACTATTGTCTGGTTCTAGGCCCAGAAGTCTTTTAGGAACCTCTTCAGAGGCTTAGCTTTGCAGAGATTTTAAAAAGCATTTGAATTGGTAGAATTGCTGTGGCTTCCATAGGCCACAAATCTGGGTCTTGGGTCTTTGTCATATCCTTTCTTTTATAAGTCAAACTTTCTCTGCATTTGGTCAGCAGTTTCTCAGTCAGTTATTCTCCCCTCTCTACTATACCTGTTCTTACTGGAGGCCTCAAATGGTCTCCTGGGTCTCCTCTCCAGTGGGTCCTTCTGTGATGGGCAATGGTCACAATTTGACCCCATGGGCCAATCTCACTCCTGCAAGTGTCTCCAGTTCTCAATTAGATACTGATGATTTCCAAACCTGTGTCTCCAGGCCAGCCCCCTCTTCTGAGATCAGAACCCATCAATTTGATCTAATGGTGATTTAGACAGTTCCATCTGGATATTGCGCAGGCACCCCAAATTCAGAATGCTTAAGTCTGCCCCTTCCTCTTTGGGGTTCCTTGCCTTGGTATTTTTCATTTCTGTTCATCCAGATGCCCAGTCCTATGAGTCATCTCCTTCCCACCCACCAAATCCCATCAACTCTCAAGTCTGCATTGTAACCTACTTTTCCCCTCCTATTGAAGAAGATACTTCTTAAAACTCTGGTTCTACATTTAGGGAGTGAGCTGAAAAGGTAAAGCACTTGTCAGTCTATACTAAGATTTTTTTCTATGCCTGGTTATTTTCCATTAAAATATAAGCAAAGGGTGTAGATTTAGATATAATTTGGTTAAAAAATTATAATGTATCAATCATGAATTTGAACTGTTCAACACAACTCATGTTTATACTTAATTAAACTTGTCTTCCTAAGAAAATTGGAACAATTGAATCAACACTCCCACCACTTCTCTTGTAGGGTTTTAGAAAGAAATAGGCTAGTAGTATAAACCCTGCTTCCCCCTTGGTGGTTAAGGGCCCGTACCAACTGTTTTTGCTCAGATGTTCAGGAATTGGTGGGAGTGCATGTGAACATGGCCTGAGTCTACTCCTTTGGTTGGTATTATGTCCATGCAATTAATATAAGGTCCTTAGACCAACTTTGCCCATCTGGCTCTTTTAAGATGGAAAAGATGTGGACTCCCATAGCTCCCTATGTTTTGTGGATCATTTGCTTGTGTGTGTGTGTGTGTGTGCATGCGCACGCACGTGTGGCAATTTTAAGTTATTAGTTTTTAAAATAATAACATAAGGTTCTAAAAGGATCCATCAACACTGCCTCTGCTGTAAGGGGCATTATCTGGAGGGGAGTTTGCAGGTATGACAAGAGGCTCCTCTTCAAGGCTCTAAGTCACGATGTGCTCATGTGCGCACCTCCGTAGCTCCCACCCAGACCCCTTCCTGAGCTATGCTTATATATTATCTGCTAAAAATACACTCCCATTTTGGATGTCCTGCAGGCTCCTTTAATCTAACGTGTGCCAAACTCCTCTTCAAACCACCCCGTCCTCTGTGTTCTTCACCTCAGTGAGCAACAGAATCATCTATCCAATTTCTGAAGTCATGAAAGAAGTGTCATGCTTAGCATCTCTTTCTCTCTTTTTTTTTTAAGATTTTATTTATTTATTTGAGAGAGAGAGAGAGCATGAGATGGGGGAGGGTCAGAGGGAGAAGCAAACTCCCCAACCAAGCAGAGAGCCCGATGTGGGCCTCGATCCCGGGACTCCAGGATCATGACCTGAGCCGAACGCAGTCGCTTAACCGACTGAACCACCCAGGCGCCCCAACATCTCTTTCTCTTTCACCTCACGTCCAATAAATGGCCATGTTCTGTTGATTCAACTGTGTAAATCTGTCCAATACACACCTTTCTCTTTCTCCCCACTCCCCTGGGCCCCACCACACCATTCTCCAGCCGCTACCACAAGTCTGGTTCTTTTTCTTTCTTGCTTAAAAACCTTCAGTGGCCCCTCCTTCCCCACAGAAAAAAGGTCAAACCCCGTGCAGACCTTATGTGATCTGGTCCCTGAGTAAGTACTCTTGATTCCTCTCTCTCAACCCCACGCCCATTCTCTATGTCCCAGCACTTTTATTTCCTCCAAAGTGCCCTGCTGGCTTTTTGTTTTGTTTTGTTTCTGCATTCAGATCTTGGCCCATGCGGTTTCCTCTGCTCAGAACACTTTGTGTAGCGCCTCCCTCTTCCCCTGCGCTTGACTCGCTCTTGCTCTTAGTTTTGAGTGAGCTCCTCTGGAAACTTTTCCGAACACCGCTCTCTCCCATCCTGCCCCATAGAGTGCTCCCATAGCCCCATGCTCACACAGCTGGAGGCATCGACCACTTTATATTTAATTATCTGTTCACTTGTCGTTCTTCCCCTCTAGACTATAAGCTCCTTAGATGGCAGGGGCAGCTTCTTGTTCACTCTTGAATTCTCATTGTGTTAGGCACTCAATAAACATTTTTGGATGGCAAGTTGCAGTCTGGATTCTTTAACTCAATATATGATAAACAGGCAGGTTTGGGGCATGGCAACCCATTGTTGCCCACTTTGGATGTGGCTTCACCATGCCCTCACCTACTACCCACACAGGAACAAATCTCTCGGGAATAACATGTGATTTCGGCACACACTGATTTTCTGCTTTTTTGGTTTTAATTAATTAATTAATTGTAAGTAGGCTCTATGCCCAACGTGAGACTTGAACTCATGACCTTGAGATCAAGAGTCGCATCTTCTACTGACTAAGTCTGCCCGGTGCCCCCCACCCCCCGATCTTCAGCTTTCGACCCTGTTCTCGATAATCAGTTATAGGCAAAGCTCTTTGAGTGCAAGATAGAGCCCTAATATAACAGACTTTGAACCGTAATATTATTTTAAGTGTCAGGGACAGGATGGTCTTTTGATGGATGAGACAAGTATGTCCCAAAGGGTAAAAAAAAAAAAAAAGCTATTTTGACCCTCTCCTTTTTAGTTTGTTCCCAATTAACTCCTTCTCTGACCATTTCTTCATATCCACAATTCTCTCTAGAATCAGAAAGGTACAACTCTGTGATATGCGGGAATGACAAGAACCACAACCTAATTATTGCCAGAAAGAAGGTCTCCGTATTAAAAACCATTCTTAGACGAAAGGCATCATTCTGTGGGGAGCAGACTCTAATATTTAACCAGCTTCTAGCCAATAATTCTGTTGGACCAGCTGATCCACACGATACCCAGGAAAGTTAGATATTCTGAGGTGCATTACTTAGATTTATTTTTTCAGTTGTTTAAAACAGGGAGATGGGCATTTGATGCTCACTTTCAATTTACCCGGCATTTGTGGGACTCCACTGTGTATTCATCTGTAGATAGAGTGGCACTCTTTTTTGTTTCCTTTGAGACAGTTCTTAGCCCTGCCCGTGGGTACTCAGTGAGCCTGCAGCTTGAGGGAAGGTGGGCTGTCAAGCCATTCAGGCTCCCAAGGGGATGGTCAGCCCTCCCCGTGGCCTGGCTGACCACCGAGACCAAGGCCACAGGGAGAGCACACCAGGACTGCTTCTCCGGTTTAGACTCTTGTCACTGCCACACCGTCCTTACCAAAGGCTAGGCCAGAAAGACTAGAGTTGCAAAGGATTGCCGGCTTTCAAAATTTGAAAAGTGGCAGGACTACTCCCACACTTCTTTCATTTTTTTTTTTTTAAATGAAGGAACATCACAAGCAGGTCCAGTATGTATGAAAGATAAAAGCAGAGCTTCCCTGGTTGAAGTTAGGATAATGGATAGGGTGAGGGTGGGAGGGGACAGAGTCCCACCCTCTAGCTCGCCTTGCTCTGTGAAGAGACTAGATTAGAACTGCTTTCCAGAATTGTATCCTGGAATCTTAGATAAGAAACAGCTCTTACTGCAGGATATTGCTAAGGACACTGTTTTCCTCTCATCCAGTGTCCTTTCTGGAAAGATCCGTAGAAGAAATTTCTCATAGGTCTCTCTTCCAGGAATCCTTGTGATTTTTTTTGAGTATTTGACTTATTATTATTTTTTATGGAGGCCATGACGTATGCCCCTTTTTATGGCAGCCCCTCGAAAACAGAGCTGATGCTGCCGGCTCCTGCTGGCAGTTTCTCAGGACTACCCTGCACACATGATATGAACTGCAGACATTAAGTCAGGAAGCCAGGCATCATTTCGGTCTCACTTGCCTTTTACTCTGATTTTCAGTTGGTTTTTATTGAATCTTCTATCTTAGACATGTGAGTACATCTTTCTGGAGTAAAAGGGGATAAAAACAAAGGGGATAAAAACAAACATATGGATGCATAACTACCTTTTACAACGAACCTACCAGATAGCCTTCAGCAACCGCTGTGTGACTGCACGTACCTCATTGGGGTGGAATCCATCGACTGGTTCAATGAGCTGCCAGGGCTGCCCGCCTCTCTTCCGCCACTCGTCCACGACTGCAGGGCACACACAACCAGAGGGTTAGCGACGCGCTTCTCTAAGTGACGGTCAGCGCTGGAGAGCAAGGACCATGTGGACCAAACGTCAGAGCTGCCCACGGGCCTGCCTGGCCGATGCTTTACTCAGTTGTGGCCGCTCTGGGCTATTATCTCAGGCATTGTATGGTCTTTTTTTTGATTTTCTAGCTCAGGAAGAAAATGTGTGACGGCGTTGGGTGAATGTGGTTTGTGCAGGGAGGAGGGCGGTGGGAAAAGGTGAGCTCTGAAATATTCAACACCGCTGTAAATTCATCTCATTTGTCAGTGGGGGAGTATTGCAAGAGAAGAGGGGGGAGTTAAAGCGTCTTGTTAACATCTCTTCACGTGGGCTGCCATTTCTAGATGCTGTCTGCATATGTCAAGCCGTCACCATTAAAAATCGTACAGTTTCTCAGAAATACAATTACATAAAATGATCTCAACATCACATTTAGAGTGAGTATGGCTACAGAGGAAATATTACGAGCCCCAAAGTGATGAGAAGCAGTAAAACTGCCCTTCAGTAGGAGTAAGAGACCAAGACTGTCGGTTGCTCCAAGGCAATAGCACCATTAACTCTATACTGTAATTTTATACAGTCAGGAAGAGCTCCTCAAGGAAATTTCCAAATCCCTAGAGAGCCAACAGAGAGAGAGGTTTGAAACTGGCTGCTCCCCGCATCTCCCCTGCCCTCCCTTCCTTGGCGTCCAGAGAGGGGAGTAGGCACGGCTGTAATTTTTCCAGCTCTTCCCTCTTCTCCACAGAGACTCAAGAGCAGGGATGTGTGTGCCCTCTTGGTTCCCCCCCATCTCGCCCCAAAAGAAGGAATGGAAATTCTACCGGAGGCTTTGACTGTGCAAGTGAAGCCTGTCTCAGAGCTGAATCAGTACTATGCTGCTTTTGTAATTAGTCCTAATATCACAGCAGGCCACCCCTCCTTGCTACCCAACCCCTGTTCCCCGAGGGGCTGCAAACACTGCTGCCCTTGTCAGAGCTCAGGAAAAAATTCCTGCTGGTCGTTTGAAGTCCTACATACAGGATCATCAATTCCCTTTGGCTTCTTCTCCTGCAAAATGGCTGCCACTGAGCCACTCCTCCATATTTTGCATCTGGCTGTTATTGGGAGTCAGTGATAACATATTCCTTCCTGCCAGGAATCATGTTTTTGCCACTGCACAAGTCCCTATCCCTCCTCACTACAAGGGAGTCCAGTCTTTAGAAGAACTGGCTTATCATATAGAATAATCCAATAGGCATTAAAAGAAATGCCGCAGGTTACCAAGGCTACCATCAGTCTATTCAGAGTGAAAAACATCATTTTCCCACATGATTATTGTGTCTGTGAGGGTTACCAGTCATTGCAAATCTGCGGACATCAGTATTATAACACTTAAAGGGAGAATCAGAAACTCACAGGCAAGAGTTTAAGGTCTTATCTGTATTGTGACCAGTGCTAGACAAAGTGACCTTTTTAGATTTGTTGATCTCAGGGGGAAATTTTGCTTTCTTAGAATAAATGCAATACCAGTGGTCTTTATTTCTTCTCTGACTGATTTTATTTTATTTAATTTTTTAAAAAGATCTTATTTATTTATTTGAGAGAGAAAGAGAGAGCATGAGGAGGGAGGAGGGGCAGAGGAAGAAGGAGAAGCAGACTCCCCACTGAGCAGGGAGCCCCACATGGGACTTGATCCCAGGACCCTGGGATCGTGACCTGAGCCAAAGGCAGATGCTTAACCAACTGAGCCACCCAGGAGCCTCTGACTGATTGTAAAGGAGGAGATCCAAGCAGGGGCAGCATGGTAAGTTGGTCTGTTTACTTCCTGCCTGGGATCACAATTAAAAATAGGTAAATGAATTCCTATTTTCTCAGAAGACCTGAATTAAACTTCTTGAATGATCACAAATGATCTCTTGGGATTTGGTGCATAATGTATTTTCTGTATCTGTAAAGTCGAAGTAGTCATCAGCAATGACCAGCTTTTCAGAGATGCCATAGGAATCATTGAAGAAGAGTCATAAGCACTTGGTAGCTCCTTGCTAAACAGCAACACTAGCAGATATTTAAAACAAGAAATCAGAATTCTGGTCAGCACCATGAAGTCATTGGTTGTTTTACAAACATCCACGTGGGGAGAACTAAGACCAAGTTTACTCCAATTGAGTTGTCTTGGAAACTGAGGGCAGCTGGTATATTTAAACTGTCAGTCTAAAAATGGCCTTGTCAGCCAAGTGGCATTTTCCTTCCTCTGTTTGGGAGGTGTGGTACAGACAAAGAAAAAGGACATCACCTGCTCCAGCTGGCATTTCCTGAAGGGAGGAAAAATTGCTGCCTCTGTTTAGCTCATAACCAGTTAGAGGATGAGTCAGCAAGAGACAAAAAAGAGTCTTTGGAGATGAGCAATAGCCTTTCACTGAGGGACTGACGCTGTCAGAATGGAGAACAGATAGGGCTCATGCCCACCCTCCAGGGACAGCGACCCTCAGCTGCAGTTTGCTCTGTCACAGGGGGTGGAACTGTACATTTCATATGAAAAATGAGGATGTTTGTGATGCAGTCATCAGCTCAAATACAGCACTGAAATGAGAGGGGAGATTTCCATGTGACCCTTAAGACTGCAGGTTTCATAAGTGGCTATACGGTTTTTAAGTCTGATAACACAAGACCACGGTGCTAATGAGATACATTTCCACCATGGCTTCCTCTAGGGCACCCAAAGTGGTCCCCGGGTATGATTGGTGTTGGGAGGTGGGTTGGACATTGGAAGAGAATCAACATTTATTCTCCTTCTATGATAAGCCCTAGAAGAGTGTAGTAGGTGCTTTGCATATACTGATGACAGTGGTGGTGGGAGGATGTCAGCTAAGAGGGTTCTCACCACATTGCAGTGTTGTCTCAATCCTCACATAACCCCCAGGTCCCCCGTCCCACCCCCCCACCTGCTCCCTGGTTTACTGATTGTTACCTTACACAAAAGAGAACAAAGCAGAGTGGTTATTTAACTACTCAAGGTTACACAGTCATTCTGTGTCTGAGCTGGGATAGGGGCTCAGTTCTATCTGGTGGCGAATGCTGGGCTCTTTCTACAAGAGCGCATTGCACCTCCATGATTTCTGGGATGATGAGCTTCCCAGGTGTGGCGGTTACCCATGGAGTTGGGTCTGGGAGTGAATGAGCCCTCCGCTGTATCAGCTGTTCATGCGGGCAGATCGCAGGCCACCAGATCCTCTGTCTGCACGCTCCCTCCATCTGTGCCCGTACGTGTTCCCTAGTGGAGCACCCACTAACTTCCTATGGAGAAGGCAAAGAAGGCCTCTACCAAAACTGGATCTTCAGATTTATTTTTAATAAATGTCTCTCAGGAAATTCCTTCAACTGTTGATGATTGTTGCCAAGTAAGGACAAATACAGAGGAGGTTTCTCAGTAAGATGACCCACTGCCATTTGATTTAGAATGTTCAGTTCAGTTTAACTGAACTTTTAGCTTTTATATTGCATTTATTGTTGCCATGAGGACAAGAAGGGGCCAATGAGCCTCTGCTTCCAGCCTGTTCGGTCATCAGTGGAAAGCTGGTAGTACTGAGTCAAGGGTAAAACTCTTCTCTCCCTATCCTTGATGAAGATAAGGGCTGTTTTGTTCTTCTGACAGCTATATTCCCAACACCTACATGTACATGGTAAGACTTAGTAAAAATCGGATGACTAACTAAATTCTTAACCTTGGAGCATTACGGAGCCCCATTTATTAAATTTTAACGTGCATCTGGGTCATCTGTGGATTATGTTAAAATGCAAATTCCAGTTAGATAGGTCTTAATTAGGAGTGGAGCCTGGGGCTCTGCATTTATAACTAGCCCCCAGGTGGTGTGGATACTGCTCATCCTGAGCCATACATTGAGTAGCAAGGGTGTGAGGGGACCCTATTCTTTCCTGGGCACCAGCTATGTACCAGGCACAGCATTTAGGAGAATTACATTTTTCCCCCCATACAATCATCATGAAGATCTGTTATGTTGATATGGCAGCACCATTTCCAGGTCTGGAAAGGAGAGTTTAGACATGTTCAGGGAATTGCCTACATTCCCAAAGACAATAAATGACAGAGCTAGAGATTACTTTGGAAAATGAAAAGTCCCATGTGAATGTTAGACCTTATTATATTTTTAATAACTTTATCTATATTCAAGGTTGATGATCATCAAAGATCACTTGGTGGTGCATTTGTTTACACCAGGAATTCATTAATGAGTCTTTAGCTCTGCATTTTAATGAGAGGTTATTTATCAAAACGTCTTTCCCCAGGAGAGAATTATATATCACCTAGGCAGGAAATCTACTTAAGGGAGATCAGTCCTGTTGAAAAGCTGTTCAGGATTGGAGTACAAGAGTATGCAATGCCCTACATGTCAGCTAATGTAAAGTTTGATAATTCATGATGGCCATCTGCTTCATCCCAGATGCTGGGGTTGGGGATGTTGGTGGCAGGGAGAGAGAGATGATAAACTCGGGATGAGACCTCTCCCATCATTTGCATACACCGTAAAGCATTCCATTAGCGTCATCTCAGAGGGCAGTCAATCAACAGGAGGCTTTTCTCTTGTATAATAAGTGCTTAGCAATGAAAATGAGACTGGGAGGATTAAAGTCAACAAATAACAATTTTTCAGAGTCAAGATGTAAAGGATAAATCAGGAGCTCCGATAATCACCCCCATTTTTGTGTGGCCACTCCTCAGTGACCCCTGTGTTCGGACAGAATGTTAGAAAAGAAACAGTGACGTTCTTTCCAGAAAGCTGGAAGATGGGTTGTCCACTTTGCCACAGGCAAATCCGAGGTCCCTCCCTTAAAGACTCTGACAGGTTACATCATGTGTGGGGGCTGGGAATCTGTTCTGCCACTGGACCCCTAGGTCAGTCAGCATTCATACGGGAGGCACTGCCTTATCCCTCATTCCTGCCACACTCATCTTCAGCCCACAGGTAAGCAGGGCATTGCTCAACTGGCAAAAATGAGGTAGGTGATTCCATTGATCTGCTGGCTCCCGGCCCAGAGCTGTCTCCAACTGGTCCTTGGCTCTATTGCTTCAGGGATTCTAAAATGATGGTGAAATGAGGAGGTGATGGTAAGCTTCCCTGCTCCCTGAAAGGGTCTCACACTTTATCTTTCTTCACTACTCAGAGCTGTGAGTGTGTCCAATGTGTGGGAGCCACCCTGCCCAATCTACTGCCTGTTGGCTTATAAAAGCTCTGCTCAGTCAGGCTCTAAACTGTAGCCACTGCTTTTGTCTTGTGTCAATACCTACTCCAAACACAACTTACGATCTCGGAAGTCAAAATCCATGTAGAAAAGATCGAAGTTCGTAAATTTCTGGCTGGTTGCAATTTTTTTCAGTGTATTGGAGAGTTGTTTCGCTCTCTGAATACAAAAGAAACAGGGAGAATTCCATGAAACCTAGACTTTAGTGAGACAATTCAGGCAGAACAAAGAAACTGGTAGTCCCCACCCTCACTAGGAGCCATCAGCGGAGGGAGGCTCTGCCCGTGAAATTCTAGTCATGCAAAAATGGCTAACGAACATACAAAACTGTTAACATTCATTAGGAATCAATCAGTGAGAATTAAAGTAATAAGATACCACTTCTTTCCCATGGGATTGGCAAAGAAAAGATGAATAATCTTGATAATATAGAATATTGCCATGGGAGAGGTGACTGAGAATGTCAATTTGTTTCACCTTTCTAGAGAGCAATTTGGAAATAGGGATCAAACCCTTATACATGGCATAACCCTTGGACCCAATAATTTCTCTAAGAATTTGTCTGAAGGAAATAGACACAGTATAGAAAGAAATATGTATATACACACACAGGTTAGTCACAGTGCTATTTTTCATAGCGAAAAATTGGAAACAACCTATATGTCCAACACTAAGGGGCGAAATAAATCACGGTACATTCATATGCTGTATGCTTTAAAATGATGACAAAATTATGATGTGGAGGACTAACTTATGAACACTGGAAGGCACAAAACAATATGTGTACTCTGATACTGTGTAGGCAAAACCCCCCAAATATCTATGAAAGTAATACTGGAAACACATACATACATATTGGCTTGGGTGATGGGGTTTGCAGTAATTTTTGTTATTATTCTTTGTGTCTCAGCTTTTTTATATTCCCCAATTTTTTTAAATTGAAATATATTTCTTTTGTAAAAAAAAAAATCAATAAATCTCTTACAAAGAGATTATTCACCATCCCTGAAAGAAGTACGTGAACCATGGATGTCCTCAGAGAAGAGAGGAAGGCTGCGTAGCCCCTGGTCCTCGTGGACCTTGGGAGAACGCCAGTCATCTGTGGGCCTAACCTTGCTCAATCCTCTCTATGTCTACAAATACGCTTAGGACGCCTAGGTATATGTGTATCCATGTATGTGTGTGTACAAGAGAGAAAGACACACAACAGAGACAGTGACTGAGAGCCACAGACCCAGAGCATGGCAGAAAGAGAGGGACAGGGCACCCCACATTCTCTTGGCTTCTCCAACACCCTGGCAGTTTGATGTTTTTATTCATCAGCTTGGAGGCCACTGCCCTGCCCAAATGCCCTTCCCAGTGGAAATGCTGCAGTAAATACCTGCGAAGAAAGATCAAAGATGCTATCAAAGGAGTTGCTACAGTCCTACCTCTGAAGTGAGAGTCCGGAGCGTCTTGTTGGAGGACATCCAACTGTGGCAGGGGCTGACCTGAGAGTAAGAAAACACCGCTTTGATTACAGAGGAGCAAGACCAGTAACAGGGAATGTGGCCTTGGAACAAGTCATTGTGGGCTCACCTGGAGACAGTTCAGGAAGGAGTAGAAATGTGCATAGGTCACATCCTTATTTAGCTGGCCTGGAAGACAAAGAGGTCTGTTATGTTGTACTTATTCAGATCTAGCAGCCAACTAGGGACACTTGTGGATGACCCTGCCTTTCCTGAGAAGGGTGGCACTTCCAGGGACCTGTCCTGAGTTTTCATTCCGCATTGCTCCTGAAGAATGCCTGAACATTCCTTCTTTCCGAGTGTCCTAGAAATCAGACTGAGCTGGGGAGGGGTCTAAGGAGTTTACTCCCATCTTGAGCTTCTGCCCTTATCTGGACCCCAGGTAGAAGGATAAAAAGGCCCTATACAGGCTGGAACACCACTAACAAAGGACTTGGAGAGCAGGGGCATCTCCATGAGATGCCAAGTTCCCATGGAGAGCATTCACGGTGGTAGTTGGCCAAACCCTCATTGTCAACTTTATGTAACACTCAGGTCTGCCCAATTATCCCACGCTGAGGACCTGCTGGGACTTTCTGGGTGTCTGAAGTTCTGACCATGTGCTGCCCTGCAGTCTGGTAGACTGAAGGCCTCCAAAAGTGTGTGGGTGGCTGTTGGATGGGAGAGGACAGCACATCCTATCCCTTCACAGCCCAGTGCATATCTTATTTGAGACCTAATTACTAGATATGCTCTAATTTATTTTTTGGTGCACGTTAAAGAGGTGCATATGAATAAAGGTGGGGGTGCCTGGCTGGCTCAGTTGGAAGAGCACGTAACTCTTGATCTCAGGATTGTGAGTTTGAGCCCCACATTGGGGGTAGAGAGGACTATAAAAATTAAATAAAACTTAAAAAAAAGAATAAAAGTGTTAAGTGCCCTATGTGAGTTCATCCCGAGTATTTCCAAACATCAGTTGTAGACCCAGAATCTGTGGGGGTTATTTCTTCTCTCTTTTCACACATCTCCCCTCTCCCCCACCTCCCAGCCTATCCACCCCTGGAGGCAATTCGACTTTCGTGCTGTGGCTGAGACACAAAACCCAGGCCCTCCCAAATCTCAAGGGTGAATGACTGATGTCTTATCCATTAATACTTTCTCACATTTGAAAAAATAAAGGAAAATAATAGGACCTATTTCGGAGTGAAGGGAAAGATTGAAAGTGATGGAACACAGTCTTATTTTTCACTTACACCTCAGATCAGTTAGACTGAAAGATAGATTCAATTTTCTTGTCATAGAGGAAATATGTATCCTCTCTCTGTGTGGGTGAGTGAATCCCAAGACTGGAAAACCACAGGCTTGTTATCGTCATTAAAGTCACAATGACACACCAGGCCTCCTCTTTTCTCAAAGGTGTCTGCATCTTTGTATTTTGGATGAATCCCAAGCCACCTTCTGTCTTTGCTTTCATTTTATGCTCAACATGGAGCCCTGAGCTCTCGTCTTTCTCCAAGATCCTGTTTTCCACCACTGAGGCTTCTTTCCCTCTACTGTGTGTGTGTGTGTGTGTGTGTGTATGTTTCGTAATTTACCTTTCTGTATGTGTCCCCATCTATCTCAGCCTCGCCAGCTACAGTGACTAACACCTCCTACTTGTAATCCCGTCCTCCATCCTCTCCACCCAATGACTTGGCTCTTGCCCCCTGTTGGTACTGCCCCTGAGCTGCAGCCTTCCCTCTGCCATCTTGGTTTTTTTGTTGTTGTTGTTGGGCTGGGGCCTTGTAATAAACCTTAGGTAGCTTGGCTGGAGCCCTGTCAATCTGTTTGGCCCTGATGAATCCCCTGTCCCTGAGAACTGGTCTCTCTCTTTCCTTTGCCCAGTGGCTGAAGTCTTTTTAACCTGTAGGTGGTGGCACCTAAGGCCTGACTACAAGTAACACTCTCGCACCCTCCTCTTTCCCACTTGCTCTCTTATCCAGAGGGACCAGAGTTTGTCCTGCTACTGGATATTGGGGATTCATCTGCTGGATCCCCTCTAGGGGCTAAGTCCAGCCATAGCCTTGTCCATCCTAGCTTACTCCTCTCTCCCTGATGTCCTACTGCTGAGGTCCCAGCACACCTTAGAATGAGACCACAAGGTGTGTCCTCCTACTGGGTCTTCTCTTGATCCCTGTCTCTTTCCCCCCCACCCCCATCTTCTTGCTTTTCTGGCACTTGTAATTAGACAAGATTGATATAGGAAAAATCCTTAGGTGAGAAGGTAGGTCTGTTGAATAGGATAAGGGCATGCTAGCTGCAGCTGGGAGGGACCTGGGAAAGGTGTAATGAGTTGGTTTCCCTTCTTTCCGGGATTTCTGCTGTGGAAGGTAGGGTGACTCTGGAGCTGGCCCCGTGGAAGGGCAGTTGGGAGTGCTTATTATTGGCTTATGGTTTAAAGAAAGGGAGGAGGGAAAATAGTTGTTATGCTTTTCTCCACTTATTGGTGCTGTCAGTTGGTTATTCATTGTTTCTTTTTAGGTATTACTTTTCAGTGGTATTTTTGCATATTGAGGAGCCCTGGTATAAAGATTGATCCCACCTAAATGTCGTACCTATAAAGAGGCAGTATCTGCAACATCCTGGTCAGAAAGTGAATCTGGTAAAGAAAGCTGGTCAGAAATGGGACAGGGGCAAGAGGACTGGAATTATCAGGGCTGAGGAACTATCAGAGTGTGTGTGTGTGTGTGTGTGTGTGTGCGTGCACGCGCATGTGCGGGCACATACAAGGGCTGGGGAGCTAGTGGGCTGGCCCAGTGGCTGCCATATGTCCCCCCAAAGATTAAAGGGCATGTTCTCCCCCACCTGGCTGCAGTCATTATTAGTTCTTTAGGGCAGAGTGTTTGGCTTAATGCTGGGACTGCAAGTGAAATTTTAGGTACCATAAAAGCTTGGTACCAACAAAGATCAGCCACACCTCCATGAAATACCACCTGAAAGTATAAAACCTTAGCAAAACCACGTGAATTCAGACAGGGAGTAAGCCCGTGATAAATTAAGAGGTATAGTGCAAGGTACTTTAAAATATATTAGGTTTCAAGTTTAAGAGTAATTGGGGAAAAATTAAGCTGTTGATGTTCTGTGGCAGAGGCCTTTCAAGGAAGGCCCACATGCAGACTTATTTGTAGCCAGCAATCCTGGACTTCTTGACTGTAGTCTAACCCTTCAGGTGGCTCCCAGAATGCCTAGGGTTTATAGCACTGTCAGTGGCAGAAGGGGATTTCACTGTCAGGATCTACACAGTGTTTTCCCCGGTGGAATTGTCTTTCCTCTCTCTTTTGGGGACAAGGACGCCATTTTAGTATCATCTTTACCCCCAAAGCACATAATAGGTATCTCAGACATGTTTGTGGAAAGATTGCCTTTCTCATAAACTGTGCCTGAGAGGAATTATCCCTGGTCAAGCTTGAAAAGATCTATGTAAGTAGAATCTTCATGTGTGAGACTTAGTTTCTGGTAATTCCTCAAAAAGACTATACATTCTTGCTAGGAATTTTAGTTACTGGTAGAGACTGTGGAGCTGCTGCCGTCCTTGGCAGCCAGGCTTTGACTGGGTAGTGACTCAAACATGGTTAAGAGATGCCAGGAGGGATTTATCACCCCCTCCTCCTTGGCAGGAATGAGCTAGGAATCTGTTCTTGCCCTGGGCCTTCATTACCTGATGATCTGATGCTGTGGCATTTAACCTTTTCTTGGGTGAATGGTCAGCCTGAGTTCCTACCTGTCCTACTGAGGCAGCAGAAAATGTATCACTGACCCAGGGGTTCTGCTTGACTCCTGCTTCCTGACCTCTTTCTTAGTCCTTAACGGGTGGCTAACGTCAGGTCTAGAGAGTATCGTCACCATGTTTCTAGGCTCAAAGACAGAAATAAATGGAAAACCCCGTTTATTTGCTTATACAATCCTTAGCATAGTGCCTTGGGAATCAGACTCCGTGTTTGGCTATTGATTAACATGAGACCGACCCTAACCTCGAAGAGCAGCAAAACCCTGAGACTGGCCTGGCATTAACCTGCTTTCCTGCTGGCTCACGTCTGATGGGAGTGAAGGTCCACAGGTTGGATTTGAAGCCAGAGCAGAACTGAGATACAGGGCAGTAGCCTTCTCCTCAAGCCTCTCATCTTATGTGAGTTATGCACCAGCCAAAGGAGAAATGAGGAAGCTGGGTAAATCCCACCTACTTCCCCAGGCTGTCTAGGAAGGATACTGATGCTTCGTTGAGGAATTTATAATTTATATCCCATGGCAACCAGGCAGCAGGGATAATTTAGGATATGAATAATAACTTAAAAACATTAAATAAATTTTAGATGGTTTTAACTTTCTTCCTAATTGGATTTTTTTTTTTTTCTCAAAACAAGGGTTGTTTATATAGAACAAACTCATTCTACCTTTTCGTTCTTCCTCTTTTATGCTGCAAAATGCTAGTGCCCGATCAGTGGTTGGTGAAAGGCCATTTGAGGACAAGGCAAAGCCTAAAGCAAAGTTTCTCAACCTTGGCTCTATTGATATTCTTAGTTGTGGGGGGCTGTCCTGTGCATTACAGGATGTTTAGGAGAATCCCACTAGATATTAATAGCACCCCTTCTCCAGTTGCGATAATGAGTAGGGGTGACATGAAAACCACTGGCCTAGAGAATCCACCAAAGTGATTGATGAGTCTCCCCAATTACCTTCTTTCCCTCCCTTGCTCCCTTCCAAACTGTATGGTGTTGTTATTACCTACTGTGGTTGAGTCAAGTGAATTGTGTGGCATATCCGAGAGAACTTATGGAGTTATCTAACCAGAGTTCATGGAAAGAAAATGGGATTTGAAGTCAGAAAACCCAAAGTCAAGTCCCCACTGATGTGATAGAGTAAAATGGAAGCACATCTCTCTTGTCCTCAACTTCCTTTCCCCAAGCATTTCTTAGTATGGGGCAAATCTAGGAATCTGAAAACATTTGTTGGGGGAACCGAAATTTTCAACCCCAAAGGCTCAAAGAGACATTCTTGGCCCATGTGGTTGTGCTTCATGTGTTCAAGGAAGCCCAGAATGGAGACATGTTCTCTGTGTGACCGTGTTACTATTTCTAAGGGTCACGGTCAAAGCTGTGGGAACAGAAAGAATATGCTTTCCTCTTGAGAGGCTGGACAATGTTTTGCTGGGATGATAATGATATTTGTGGTGCACTTGGTAACTGAAGAGGAAAAATGACTTCAGTCTTATTGGTGGGAAGCCTAGAAAGTGGGTATTTACTCTTGTGCCCCTGGTGAAAGGACCAGAGTCTTTTGAGAACTGGTTAAAGGGAACCTGCTCTTTTCGTGTGTTAGGAGGGGTGGGGGTTGGCTTAAACAGGGACTACAGGAGGAGAAGAGGAGACTGGAAAGGTACAGAGAAGTTATTAATGCAAGGAAAAGTGCTCTACCCCCACCCCCTGAGGTGGACACTGAGGAAGGAGTTTTAGGTTTTTCCCTTTGAATTGCTCATCTGACTCATTAGAAACTGCTTGGATCTCCAGAACACTTTCGCAGCGGTCGGTCTAAGGAGGAGGCTATGGCAATACTAGGGAAGGGGCGACCTCTTTAATGAGAGACTGGCAAGGGGTTGTTGATATGAGGCTGAGGGGAGGATATCTAGGCTCTCATTCTAGTAGATGCCTGTCAGAGAGGTCTGAGGCCAGCACTTCCTATCCCCCTTCCCTGCTTAATTTTTTTAGTCACACTGGCATACTCCTGCAATACAAGCCTACATTGGCAGGGATTTTTGATTATTGTGTTCACTGATGGTTATGCGGTTCCTAGGACAGTGCCTGGCACCTAATAAATATTTTTTGAAAGGACATTCTCCCCCAAACACGGAGAGAGAGAGCCCTACTATACCCAGATTACATATACAATAAGCTATGCAACATTTGGAGCCTTGGGCTTTTCATCTATAAAACGAAATTAACAAAAATATCATTAATTGGATTAACAGGATTGTTTTAAGGATCAGCATGGCCAGCCCTTCCTGATGTGAATTACTATTACTTTTACAATGTTTAGAAGGCATCTGGAATGCTAGAGATGCTATTGAAAGTTTCTGGAGATCTTTAAAGCATTTCAGAGCCAAGGACTCCAAAAGAGTGTAGAAGTAGGAAGCAAGCCCCCTAGAGCCTGTGTTGCGTAGAATTTTAACTGCCACCAGGGTCCACAGAATTTCTTAGAATTCTGGCCACCAGGGGGCACTCACCATTGAGGTTTGGAGAAATCCTTCTCTTTGACTTGAGCTTCATCCGCTTATTCTAGATCTCACTTTTCGTTAAAGGAGTTTCCTGATTTAAATTCTAACCCTTCAATTTGTCCTAATTCTACATTAAAAATTTCTGCCCTTTCTGACTTTAGATCTGGTTCTGACCATCTTTGGATACTGGCCTTTAGATCCATACCTCAGGGCTCTTGCCTTCACCAGCTCTGACCTATACACCATGGTGGCATTTTAGGTGTATTCCTATATGGTTTGAACTACATATATTCGAACTATGTATAACTGACATTGCTAAAGAGTAAAAGTATCGGGGTGCCTGGGTGGCTCAGATGGCTAAGCGTCTGCCTTCGCCTCAGGTCATGATCCTGGGATCCTGGAATTGAGTCCCACATCGGGCTCCCAGCTCAGTGGGGAATCTGTTTCTCCTCTCCCTCTGCCTTCCCCCTGCTCGTGCTCTCTCTCCCTGTATCTCTCTGTTTCAAATGAATAAATAAAATCTTTTAAAAAAAGGAGTAAAAGTATCTTCAAACTAATACCGAGAGGATAATATCTGTTGTGCAAATTATCCCAGAGAAATGTTCCATCTGGTAAGCCGTATAAAATAACATGACTGCCATTTGGCAGGTGGGAATTTAGATACTTCAGAGTCCGCATGATACTGGAGTATAATTTCTCGGGAGTGGTCATTGCTGCGACTGGGTCAACTTTCCTGTTGGTGAAAGAAACAGAAAATATCTTAGTAGATAAGGATAAATGCATACACATACATTAACACCTCTACCTCTCCTCCCCCTGCCCCATACACACAATGTAGTAGTTATTGGTGTTATTTGCAAAATATGTTAAGCTTCCTGACTCTTCTTGTGGTTGGGTGGGCCATGAGACTGATGTAGCCTATCAGTTGTGAGCAGAAGTGACATGTGTCATGTTTGTTGATATGAGAACCTCTAGAATGCTCTCTGCCATGAGTCTGGGCAGTGTTCTATATTGCAGCTGCTTCACTAATCTGAGTCCTGGAATAGAGTCCCACGGTGATCCCTGGGCAACAATATAGTATGAGTAAATGTTTGTTGCTTTATACTACTAAGATTTGAGGCTGTTTGTTCCTGCAGCATGTCCTTACCTATCCTGACTGATACACACAGTTAATAGAATCAAAGGAGTCTGGTATTACTTATTCTTTGTTAGACCCTTTGAGACCTGTAACTTCGTCTTGAAACTTTTCACATATATCACAGTTAGGAAAATGCAACTTTACTGAGAAATAAAATGACAGTATGTATCCACACTACATCCTTCCTTTCTACATTGAATTTGAACTTACACACTTTTAGGAATACATTGAATTAAGATACTAACCTGAATTAACCTGGGAGTAGATTGTAGAATTCTCTAAGATTTTCATCTACTCTTTAAACTGCCTTTTGTTAACCTAAATGGAATAATAAATTGTTTTCTATTTTGAGTCCTTAAAATCCCAAATTTACATAATGATCCTATAGTGGGTTGAATAGTTTCCCTCAGAATGTGACCTTATTTGGAAATAACGTTTTTGCAAATGTAAAGATGAGGTCATACTGGGTTAGAGATGGCCCTAAATCAAAAAACAAGTGTCCTTCCAAGAAGAGAAGGTGTCACGCAGACACACACCCAGGAAAGAAAGCCATGTGAAGCTGGAAAGAGAGACTGGAATTAGGTTGCTACAAACCGAGGAATTCTGAGGAATGCCAGGAGCCCCCCCGGAAGCAAAAAGGACAAGAGACGATTTTCCCCTAGACCTCTCAGAAAAAGCATAGCCCTGCTGACACCTTGAGTTTGGACTTCTAAGCTCCAAAACTGTGCGAGTTGTTTGAAGTCACCCAGTGTGTGGTGTTTTGTTAAGGCAGCTATGGGGAACTTAATACAGATTCCAAACCAGGAAAAGTAAGTCTACTACTCACAGGCTGGACCTGAGGCATAAGTGACATGGAAGGAAGGGACAGAAAGAAGCCCCCAGGGATGTCCACTATTATCGCCTTTTTTAAATTTAATTTTTCTTTTTTGAAGATTTTATTTTTAAGTAGTCTCTGTACCCAACATGGGGCTCGAACTTACAACCCTGAGTCACATGCTCTACCTACTGAGGTAGCCAAGCGCCCCTCTACGGTTATCACTTCAAAGTGAGTTCCTAAATGGACATTGACGCTGCCATTTTGGAGGGAATTTTTCAAAATGTATCAACATTTGGGGCGCCTGGGTGGCTCAGTTGGTTAAGCATCTGACTCTTGATTTTGACTCAGGTCGTGATCTCAGGGTCATGAGATTGAGCCTGGAGTTGGGCTCCGCACACAGTGGGGAGTCTGCTTGAGATTCTCTCTCTCCCTCTGCCCCTCCCACTTGTGGGCACGAGCGGGTGCTCTCTCTCAAAAAAAAAAAAGTATCAACTTTTGAAGTTGGCTTAACTTTTGACCTTGAAATTTACAGTAGCATTTCCACAAATTTGCAAAGATGTACATACAAGTATTGCAACATTGTGCTAAATAGTGTAAAGTTAGAGAAAGCCAAAAAGCCTGGTTGTATAAATGTTAGTGCATCCATGAGGTAGAAGGCTATACGGGCACTAAAAAGAAAGAAGTAACTAATACAAGTGATAGTTATACAACATTCTGAATTACTAAATGCCGCTGAATTGTTCACTTTAAAATGGTTAATTTTATATGATGTAAATTTTATCTCAATACAATAAAAAAATTAAAAAATGAAGTAGTTTGTATTAGCACGGTAAAGACTGCTAAAAAAGTATTGTTGATTGAAAAGAACAAATTACAGAGCAGTAAGCATACTATTATTTCATTTCAATGAATATTAATCAGCCTGTAAATTAGAATTTGCATAGAAAATATCTGGAAGCAAATACATTAAACTGTCTCCATTGGTTAGCTTGGAGCAGGCTGGTGGGGGCGCTGGTAGGGAGTGATTATGGGGAAACTCACTTCCTACACCCTGTATTATTTGAACTTTTCACAACAGATATTATTTTGTAATCAGAAAAATAATAAAAATAAAACAGATTCTCATATTATTTTTATTCTCTCTCAAGGAAGGGGGAAAAAAACCGGACTCCACCTAAGCTTTAGTGGAAGCAGAAAGCATTGTAGTTTTATGTCATTTGTCCTCCACCTATTTCACTTAGTCAAATAAAATCACTTTCTAAATTACTGCTATCCAGAGGTGACAGGCTGGTCACGGATGCAAAGATCACTTTGGCTCATTTGTGACAAACAATATGTACCCATACGGAGGAGAAGGCAGAATAAGGCTGATGTTAGGGGTTACCAGTAAGGTCTTAGCTGTGGGTGGTGTACATCCTTCTACACTACCTATTGGTTTGCTTAGGACTCTCCCAACCTGCCTGAAAAAAAAAAAAAGAAAAGAAAAGAAAGAAAGATGTCCTATTTTACAAAACCCCCCGCGTATAGAACAGAATGCTAAATTCATGTTTTTTGTTACCTTGGAAAAAATCATACTACTTTATGAGTAAAAATCTCCCTAACCTGAATAAAAAGCTCTCATAAGGATGGATATGAGAATAGGTTGCCTACCTACTAAGGACCGAAGGCTGGGTAGGGGCTTTGGCTTGACTTGCATATGTGCAGAAGTGCTAGAAGGATCCCAGTTTGTGAAGAGGATTCAGGCTGCCTTGTGGGTTTTCTCAGCCCAGAGGACCCAGCCAGAGTAACCAGGTTTGATATTCACTGTGTGTGTGGGGTGACAGCAGGGGTGAAATGGAAGCAAGCCGGTGTCCGTACCCTATCTTCCCCCATCGGTAAGGTGAGCGCATACTGCTTATTAACTTTTGCTTTGGCACTTCAGTTTTGTTGTGTTTTTTGCCTTTTCCTGCTGATACACTAGCGCCTTGGCACAAAGCAATTATGCTGAGCTATGACTCTCCAATCACATAAAGCCAAGATGAGTTAAGATGGAGAAAAGTCTCCCAAACTCCCTATTTAATGATTATTTTTTGGCTAGACATACAACCCTGATGGTAACAAATATTCTGAGCTAATTTGTGCTTTTGCAAGAGCACCCCATAACTGAAGCAAGCACAACCCAAATGGCTAATTACTAAGTGAAATCAAAATGGAAGCCTTGGTGTTGCTGGCGAAACATTCTCTAGTCATCTTTGCTCCATTATGCACAGCTACGTTAAGTTACATATGTGCGTTATCAGTTAAACACTTTAATGTGCATAGCAAAATTAACTGATTCTTTTTTTTTTTTTTTTTAAGTAAGCTCTAGGCCCATCGTGGGGCTTGAACTTACAACCGCAAGATCAAGAGTCACATGTTTTACTGATTAAGCTAGACAGGCGCCCCCAAATTGACTGATTCTTAGTTCAGGCAAGGGCAAATGGGTCTAAGTGACAGGCGGTGGGTCAGCCCTTCTGGATGCCATAGAATGTGCCTTCTGACTTTGTCCCTGAAAAATTCTCAATGCCATTTTGATCTGTGTACTCCTTCTCCTCTGGTGGTTTTTGAGGAGACTCAGCACTAGTATTGTGGAGACCAGAGTCCCAGCGGTTTGGAAAACATCTCCTAGGCCTTCTCTGATGTCCACTGCAGACTGAACGGGCTGAGCTGGAAGCGTCTAACCCTTTTGTGCCCACATGTGCTGGAACCTGTGTGAGGTCCACTTTGCCAGCCCAGCTTTGCCTGCGCACCCCAGTGCCCTCCATCCCTCCGCACACCCTGGTGAGCTCACACCAGTCACTCAGACAGAGAGGTGAGGGGTTAGGGGTGCTGAGCTTACAGAGGGCAAGCCTGGGGGATGTGATGAGAGAGCACTGGCGTCCCGGGCTGGGATCTCACAGGCCAGGAGCATGCAGGGGGCCGAAGAGAAAGAGCCTTGCCCCTTGGGTGGCTCAGAGCCTGTCCTCGTCCTCAGGGATTGTGTCTGATCTTGAAAATGAGCCTCGTGACTTGGGTGCAGGGCCGGCTGTGATCCTTCCATTACCCTGGCAGCTATTTGAGCCAGATTTCACCTGGCTGAGGCCAGAGAGATGTGCCCCCTCTTAAGGAAGAAGGCAAACAGCCTCTGTGGAAAGTATTTCCCAGAAGTAGAGCTGAAGGCCAGAGACGTGTCCTGACTGAGTGCTCAGCCCTCACTCAAGCTAGCATTTGGGTTCTCTCAGCAGCCAGGCAACCATAGGGAGCCCTTTCCTTCAGGCCAGCCAGCTGTAATCACATCACTATCCTCCTCCCGCGCACCCCCCCCAGGCTTCTTGACACAGACTGGGGAGGAGCTAGGGATGCACCGGGCCCACGTTACCCCATGCATAGAGGTCCTGGGTCCCTGAAAGTGGGGGTGACCTGGAACATGCTGGCTGGTTGGGAACCTCCTTATCCTTCCCTTGGCCACCCCTGCCTCGACTGAGGAGGCTGGGAGAAAGAACTCCTCTGGGCATTCCCTTCCCTGCTGGTTTTTCTACCACTTGATTGGATGGAATGGATTGTTTCCTGCCAGTGCAGTCTCCTTAGGGCCAGTGACCTATCAGCACATTGGCTGGTTTCCTCTTTTTTATTAAAAAAAAAATGTTTTTTTAATTTAAATTCAATTAATTAACATATGTTATTGGTTTCAGAGGTAGAGGTCAGTGATTCATAATACCCAGTGCTTATTACATCACGTGCCTCCCTTAATGTCCATCACCCAGTTACCCCTGCTGGTTTCCTCTTAATGCAGTGCTGATTGGCTGTCCTAGTGACATCGGAAGCATTGGCATTGCAGAAAAGAAATGCTTGGGTGCCAGGGGACACAGACAACCCTTGTAGGGTGGTCCTGGTTCTTTTCATTAGGTGAAAAATGTACAATTAATTTTGTCTAGGTCCACCATAAAAAAATGGAAGCATGTCAAAATACGTGGCTAGTATTAGATGTTTTATAATTCTATCTCACTTCTGGCAATTTCGACATTCTTCTCAGGGATGTCATGTTGTGGGGTGGAGGAAGCGTTTATGGTTTGAGGCCCTTAAAGCCATTTCCCTTTCCCAGGCCGCCCCTGCTACTCATGGTTCTGCTGCTGTAGCTCACTCAAATTTGCCCTATTTCCAGGCATTTTTCTCCTTTTGTATCACAGACATTCCAGAGTTTTCAAGGGGAGTGATAGGAAAAGCCAGGGGAAGCTGGGTTAGCTTTGGCCAAACTGAGTAGAGTCACAGGGAAAGCTGTGTTCGTCTATGTTACTTTTCTTCTTAAATTCCAGACATTAAAAAGCTATCTTCCAATCATGACCTTCATTCATTTAGCACGTATTTATTGAGTAACTGCGTGAGTTTGGAGAATTGAGAGAGAAGCACATGACTGCATTATTTCAGTAAATGCTAGCGTCATCATAAAAAAAGGAAAGAAAAAAGTCAAGCAAATATCCCCAAACTTGTTCCAGGATGGACTTATTATGCAACTCGTTGCTGGCTTGAGCTTTTTATGAGATCGCTTTGCTCATTTTGGGTTGTCTACTCCACCTTGCCGTGCTGGCAGATGGGGAGGTATAGCTGCCATCTGTCTGTATTTTTCTAACCCTGCCACAGGACATTGCGAAGTGGGCACTGCAGGGACATCCCACGCTGCCAACCCCGTTCTTTCCCCCACATGCTCGCTGCTCCTCTGCCCAGATCCCTGGCGGGGGGAGAGACTGGCACACGTCTCTGGCTGATGTCTGCCTGCCCTTTGGCTCCTTGGAAAAGGAAAAGCAAGCCTGGGCTGGAAGGGCCTCTGAGTAAGCAGGTTCTGCTGGAAAATGCAGTTGCAGGGGTTTGGGCTCTTGGAGTCAAAGCCTCTTTCTGCAGGTGTCCTGGGCTCACTATCCCCAGTTTGCTCTGTGTCCCCTCTGGGGGAACATGATCCAGAGGCTGGAGGGGCATTGGCTGATGTCACATAGGTTCATTCTGTTTTGTGATGGGGCTGGGGCTGAAGCTCAGTGCTTCTCCTTCCCTAAGCTCCTTGCGGTCAGGCACTGTGGGCTCTTTGCCATTATGTCCCAGAGCCTGGCACAGCATTTGGCACATCATAGGTGGTCAATACATATGTTTAAAAAAGTGATTGCCTAAAAGAAAGTGGTTAAGGCAGGTGTGGACTATGGAAAGAGCACAGAACTTCATCAGAGAACCTGGTCTGCCTCTCAACCTTGCTACTCATAGCAACATAAGCGAGTTCCTTAACCTTGCTGAACCCGTTTCTGCATCTATAAAACAGGGGCAATCATGCTTTCCTCTTAAGGCTGCTGTGGGGATGAGATGATCTAGGGAGTGGTGTGACTCTTGGTTCATGGAGAGTTTGGGGGGTGTTTGCTATTTACCAGCGAGTTCCATGTGGCTCATCACAGACGTTGGGACTTGGGACCCCAGGGTGGGGCCTTGGGAGCCTTGGGGTTCTGGGGAGGGTGGTAAACCAGCCCAGGGGGTGCCAAGGCAGGGTCTAGCACATCAGCATCTCTTCATCGCAGCATGGTATTTCCTGACCTGCATTCACTTCACTAATTAGGTCTACACCTCCTTCACTGTGAGAGTTCCAGGGCTCTCCTACCTCATGGAGGTGTTGGTGAGAGCAAACACACTTTACTAATATTGAACTGGGTTTTTAACACAGGCTTAGAAAGCGTGGTGAGTGAAAGCAAGGGACGGGCAGTGAGTAGGATGACCTACTTCTAGTATCTCTTGGTTTGGAGGCCGGCTCTGCCATTAATCAATTAATCAGGCAAGTCACATAATCTCTCTTGGCTTTACTTTTCTGTTTTCTAAAATGGTGGGTGGGTGGCTACTGGGGAGTTGTTCTAGATCTGATCTCACCTTTTTTTTTTCTTTCTTTCTTTTTGGCCACAATCACAGGACAGATGGAATTCACATGTGCAGCATATTCTTAGGGGTACACACAATTTTTGAGAAACCTTCCAAAATGTTATGGGAGACTAAGGCATTCAACATTTTGAAATCACTACAGATATTAGCCGGTTAGCAAAACTGTTTTCATACTATGGGCCATGGACATAAGTAGGACTGGCTGTAAATTATACACAGTTTGTTTGTGAATGCTCTGAGTCTACGCTGTCTCTACCACATCAGAATGTGAGTGAGGAACCTATTCTTATGGGGTAGCTATAATTCGGCTTTATTTTACTTAAAAGGCCACAATATTCAGTCTTGGATTCTTGGCTAGAAGCAGCATATATCTTGTGATACAACTGAGAACTTGTATTGTGACATACCCATTTGTTGGGAATCAGAGCAGAGAATTAATGGGTCAGATATTTTTTAAAGGGTCTTTAAGCTTTATGCGTTGGTTCTATCAATTTCATATGCCTCTAGGACTTGCTAAGACAGAGAAATTCAACTCAACAGCAGGCTAGTGTAACACAGTGGAGTGGAGAAGAGAAGAGGGGGACCCCAGAGTCCAAGCATTTTCAAAACCTTCTTTCTCCATAACTCACCCTTTGCAGACATCATTTCCAATCATGGCGTATATGACGATGGCTGGATGGTCCAACAGTTGGTTCCTAGACAAACTGAGAAGCCAGAGATGGACTCTGAATGGCAAGCCCTCAGAAACTGAACTTCGTCACAGCCAATGTCACAGCCTAGGCCCGTGAAAGGATCTTTGTGTGTCTCCCACTTTGGTAACTTTTTGCTATTTTTCTTTCATTTCAGAATCACTCTTCCCATTTCCCCCTTCTTCTGTATAATCTGTAAATTACTTCCCCATGAGGGAAAGACCACATAAATGCATAGAATTGAAAAGAGTGGATTGAAGTCTCCAGGAGGCGCACACGGTACCATCTTCTTAGGATTTTTCACAGTGTTTGTCCTCAAGTGTTACTGGCTTCCTTCTGTCCAGATTTGTAGGACATCCTGATGGCTGAGCTCCTGTATTGAACTTTCAAAATTCCAGGGTTTCCCAAGGTTTCCATTCTGGGCACCCAGGGCCTTGTTTCTGAATTTTAAGCTCAAAATGAGCACATTAAGTAGGAAAATGAAATAAATTTTTTTTTTGCCCTTTTTCAGCTACTTTGGCTAGACTTAAGTTTGACCCCCTTTGTATGCATTTTTATGATCCTTCTTCAAGGACATATGCAAATTAATCACTTCCTATGTCCACTGGCCCAAGAAGTGATAATGTTCCAGTGTTTGGGAGTGACTAGCAAGGTACTGGTGCTCAGTACAAGTGATTACCGGGTGAAAACAGAGGGTTTCCCTTCTTTCTTCACAATGAGAAATCCAATCTAAAAACAACTTCATATATCCCTCTTTCACTTACGTTTCTAGAAATCTCTCCAGGTTTTGGGAAGATGCACCTGAATAATTAAAATTAAGAAAATAATTAAAGTTAGTGAGTTCAATTCAACACTATCAGTATGATAATCTGATTGACTGAAATCATGGAGAAGCCTTACTGTGCAGCCAGAGGTCGTCCGCACCATCACAGGGACGGTAATGACTTCATCCTAGAACTCTCCTTAATGGGTTTTCTGTTTACTTGGTATTATGTTAACATTATCCTAAATTCTTTGGATATTCAGGTCTCAAGATATTTCCTAAGCATGAATGAGTAAGCTTTCTAGTAGATGCAAGAAAATGATATACATCTATCTCCAAAAGGAGACTACCCCAAAGATTAAGGAATTGGGTGAGGGATGAGAAGAAGTAAAAAGGATTCTTTGAGAACCACCTATCCCCCTAGAAAGCCCTATTTAATCACCTGCTGCTACCCCTGCTCACTCCTGAGGCTCCTCCTGGTTGGCTGGCCTGTGCAAGGTTCAGATTGTACAGGGCCTAGATTTCAACTCCTATCATGACATGAATGACCATCCTCACTCTACCCCTGCTACCACCTGTAATGTATCTCTTCCATGAAAACTGTATTCACTGAATACTCATTTTACTGTAGACACTCGGTGAGGCACTTATATTATTAGTTCATTTAGGCCTTCGCACAACTCTGGGAGGTAGGTACAGTCGTATTCCCATTTTATAGATGAGGAAACTGAGGTGTACTTAAGTGAGTTTCCTAAAAAAAATGGAGAACTGAAATTCGAACCCAGTCCCTTCTGTCTGTAATACTGAGCTCTGGTATTGCTCCTCTAGGCTGGGAGTCTAGAAAAAGTGAACCCAAAGAGGTTTACTGCTAGTTTGTCCCTTGGAGGCTGGTCTGCAGTAACAAGTGAGTAATCATCAGATGGGTGGTACAACTCATGGGACAAGGCAGATTCTCCTGTAATTTCCAGCCATGGAAGCTTGGGGGCAGGTGCATTGTATGGCAGAGTCAGTGAATGTTCTTAAGGATCCACATGGGAAAAGGGGGCCTGCACAGCTGTGAAGGCCATGAAAGCCCATGTACCCTTGAAGCAGTGGGGCCTCTTCTTCACGTACAGCTGGAATCAGACTAGACCGGAAGCGCTGACGTTCTCTGGGTTGATTCAGGAATGACAGTACATTAAACGAAGGTTGCTTCCTTTCCTCTTTTATTGCAGTAGAATATACAGCCATCAGCTTTACCATTTTAGCTTTTTTTGAGCCTACAATTAAGTGGCATTAAGTACATTCACATTATGGTGCAACCATCCGCACTATCCATCTCTAGAACTTTTCCATCATTGCAAATTGAATCCCTGTACTCATTAATGAATAACTAGGTACCACATATAGGTAGGATCATTGAATATTTGTCTTTTTGTGCCTGGCTTATTTCATGTAGTTTTCACAGTTCATACATTTGTAGCGTGTCAGACTATCCATTCTTTTAAAGGCTGAATAATTTTCCATTGTATGGATATACATCATCTGGGTTGTCCGTTCATCCAGATTGTCCCTTGTTGATAGGCACTTGCTTTGTTTCTATCTTTTGGCTATTGTGAATAATGCTACTATGAACCCTGGTGTACAAGTATCTGTTTAGGTGCCTCCTTTCAATGCTTTTAGGTATATACCTAATTGAAATTGCTGGACCATATGGTAGTGCTATGTTTAATTTTTTTTGAGAAACTGCCATACTGTTTTTATTTCCTTTATGTAGTGAAGTGGGGTATATTCAATAAGCACACTAACATAGAAATTAAGAGCAGTCAGTTCATCTCAGCACGCGTGCATTCCTTCACCCTCTCCATTCATTTGCCAACCACCTGCCATGTGCCTGACATACTGCCACATGCCTGTAAGAAATTGAAGATGGGTGGGACACAGCCTCTATATCTGAGGAGCCGCGTCTATAGGGGTAAGGTTTAATGCAAATCCAAACCCAACACTTGAAAAGAGGAAAGCCCAATGTGATTTCAGCCTCTTATCTCTGCTCAGAGAATGTGCCAGATTTTTACAACACCGAGTCCTAAATGTAGACTCCAAGTATTTCTGGATGTTAGATTGCTCCTTACTGTTCTCAAGAGGGAGGAGAAGGAGGACAGCCAATGCCTGCTGACATATCCTCTGGTGGCTCACTCATCTCAGCTGGGCCTTTCATTCAGTTCCAGCCCCATGACTCTCAGCTTCCTGTTTTCAGTATGATAACAATCAAGAGGTGTTTAATTCTCACACTTTGATTTTTCTCTTAATGAGAAATGAAAACTAATGAAAGCTCAAGCCATGAGTGGGAAAAAAATTAAAGGACCAGGTCAGGCCAATAATTTCCTCATTATCCAGAGTACAGCTGGGAATTTGAGGTGCAGAGCACCCACAGAGCTTGAGGAAAATCAAAATGAGAACTTGTCATGGCTTGCCACATAGGCAGCCCCCTCCCCTGCCCACACCACCCACATCCCTTTGCTGCTTAGGACAAGAATGGCAGGCCAACTGCAACCGGGTGCGGTGAGTTTAGAAACAGCAATCATAAACAACCACTCAAAAGAGAGGACGTGCCTACTCTTCTTTACCCAAATGCTAATTTTTTTTTTCTGGTGAATATTTATATTATAAGCACAGAATTCTCTGCGCTCTAGAGTTGTTGCGCCTTCCACAATTTACATTTCCTTTTGGGAATCTTCATTTGATGAGATTATGTAATTAGCTTAGGTAATTCCCACATCACTTTCTCTTTTTTTTTTTTTTAAAGATTTTATTTATTTATTTGAGAGAGAGAGAATGAGAAACAGAGAGCATGAGAGGGAGGAGGGTCAGAGGGAGAAGCAGACTCCCCTCTGAGCAGGGAGCCCGATGCGGGACTCGATCCCGGGACTCCAGGATCATGACCCGAGCCGAAGGCAGTCGCTTAACCAACTGAGCCACCCAGGCGCCCTCACTTTCTCTTCTTAATTCCCTCTTCCTGTCGTTCTGCTATTCTTTTGAAGCCCCATCAACATTTGCTGTTTCTCTCCCTCCCGAGCTCTATTGTCTTTCTGCTCCTGGATATAGACTTCTTCTCAGCTGCTGATTTTGCTGTTGCCATTGTAGAAAATACTGAAGCAGCTGGACCTGGAAGATGTGAGCAGGAAAGAAAGGCAGCTCCTAGCCTGTGGGATGCAGCAAAACAAGGGGGGCATTTGAAGAACTGCCACCACCCTTGAGAGGTCCATAGTCTAGTCTCTACAGTTAGAAAAGATGTGACTATGAAAGAGGGGCATTCGATTTATTCATCAAGGCGGCCCAAAGGAGAATCTACCTGTCCACAGTTAAGGGAAGAAGGGGGTCTTTTTGGCCATCGAAGTCTGAATTCTGGTTCATTCAGTGCCTTTTAAATGAGGAATAGTGCTTTGCAAGAAGAGAAGAAGGGTTTCACATACTCTCAGCATTGGCGGCAAGTGTTTCATATCCTGGGCATTCAAATCAACTGGTAAGATACTTTTAATGGACTTCTAAATGAGCTTGCAACTTTCTGCACTTGGCCCAGAGTAGGAGCACTCAGTCTCAAATTCTTCATGGAAAAAGACAAGGTATATTTAAATATAACAGGTCTTCCTAAATTAACGCATTACCTTGATAATATTTATGGAGTACTTACTCTGTGTCAGGCATTGCAATAGATGCTGGGGACACGTCAGAAAATAGAAAAGACATGGTCCCTATTCTCGTGAAGCTTATAGTCATGAAACAGGTAATGAACATAAAGTGTTAGAATTCCAAGAAGCCCTGAAGAAGTCATGTGAAGCTGTGTACTGAAAGAAAAGTAGGTGTTTCCTTTCTTGAAGTTCTAAGACAAGAACTTGTTAATTAATTTCCAATAAAATACCTGATGCATTCTTACACATGACTCAGAAAGAAATCTCTAGTTGAATGCCATCTTGGTTATAACTATCTGAATAGGACAGGGGCAGATCCAGGTTTCAAGTTCTGAAGCTTATATAATTTGGGGAATCCTCTTTAAGGAAAAGGACACAAAACACGAAAATGAGACCTGACATAAAGGGAAGCCACAGTGGAAAGAGACAAGGGTGTTAACCAATTGTGGTTAAATATCTTAAGTTGACAAATTTTACAAACTCATATGGTCACCAGGCTTGGGGGCAGGAGGCTGGCCTTCAGCTGCAGCCTCATTAGCTTCATAACTCTGCCTCTTGGTGCTCCTTAGAGGTCATGTGTGAAGTCTTGGGGCATCAGCACTGGGTGAGACCTCCAAGAGCATGTGATCAGGCAGCCCACTTTACAGAGGAGGCCCAGAGACAGAAAGAGACTTGGTCAAGTCCTACAGCTAGTAGCAGTAATCCATTTCAAATGCCAGTTTAACAATAGACATTAGTAACTACTGAAATAGATCAAGTGGCCTTGAGTCTAGGTCGGGAGATATCAGAGGACAACAAAATGCTAACCTTCAGCTGGTTTGGTAGTACTCCTAATTCTGGTTTTCTTCTTCAATTGACCTGCTGCTATTTGCTTTTCGCAGCCCTCCAGTGCCTGTTCCATACTTTCTGACCAGGTTTCACAGCTGTATTCTGTGGGCCAGACTAGGTGGAGCATACTTACTCTATTGTACCCAGAACCAGAAACCTAAAAAGCATTATAGAGAGTATAAAATGTTCATGGAAAATGTGTTGTCATACATGGACCTAAAGTAAATCCAATAATTTTTTTTTAACTTTCATCAGATTTTAAATAATGCAGATTTGACTCATATTTTTATATTTGAAGAAGCATTTTGAAGAGTATGACTTGTATAAATCCAGTTAAAAAAATCAGCCATAAGAAATTTAAATTCTTTCTTTTCCCTAAAAATGTTTGCTTGTGATAAGTAGAAACATTCAGACTAATACATTGACCTTGAGCTCAAAATACTAGGCACTTAATAATTGTTTGCTGTGACAGTTTCTGATGGTGTTTCTACTACTGAAAATGCTTTCAAATTCACAAGTGTGGTTCTAAATTTCTGTGACAA